AAACTCTCTCACTGCAGGTCATTCCTTCTCTGGGAAATACCCTTATTTAAAAACTTCTCTATGGTCTGTGTATAGCATGAATAATAGTAATTGTGTATAGCATATTGCATTTAGAAGCCACTTTGTCGTTGAAAGAGTATAACAAATACAATTAGTCACCTGGAGAATATTTTGCCATATAAAACGCTGCTTACAGGTTCATAGTTTAAGATACAGATTCCATGCCCCAGCTCATTCAGAGTTCTTGACCCATTGTTTACAGTGCAACCTTCCAGTGGTAAACGGAAAACACCACTGCAAGGTCAAAATACCCACGGGGGAAGGGAGAAAAGTTAACTCTACTCAGCTGTACCCATTTGACAATAAAAGCAGAGTATGAAAAAAAAAAATGACCAAATGAATTCACTCATTACAATGGAACAGCAATTGGGATTGGATGATTAAGCACTGCAGAAATAAATATAGATGCAGGACATAAGAAAGCTGCTGGTCTGAAGGGCTTGCCCTGTACGCAGCCAAACTGAAATTCACCACCTTAACCACCCATAACTCATCTGCCAGTTTGGGAGTATCATACTTCTATTGTAATAATCCACCCTGTAGGATTAACGTAAATATTCGTGTCAATTTTACTATAGACATAATAGTTTTCAGATTATGAGAAAAAACTATTTATCACATATAGACAATCTGAAGTATGAATTAAAGTAAGAGTGTGTGTGTGTGTGTGTGTGTGTGTGTGTGTGTGTGTGTGTCTGTGTGTGTGTGTGCGCGCGCGCGCGTGTGCCAGTCACTTCCCCCCTTTTTTAAATGCCCCATTCGCTTGCGAATAATACAGTCTGAAATTGTTTTGCTATAAAACACTCTACTATTACTGGTCAAATTTTGCCATCATGTGTACACTGTGCCATTCATATACTGCAGACAGAATGGAAACAAAGAAAGGAGTCAAAGAGAGTTCTGCAAATATTTCTTTCGCACAGAGTGAACTTTTTTAAAATGCACTGGTTTGTCTAAGGAGTTTATATTTGTAAGCAGTCAAACTGATGGATGTTTTCTAGATGTCTGTTTTTTCAATTATAATTTTGATTTCCTTTAATTGTATAGTAACTTATTAAAAGAAATTTATTTTTGAGATGGCTCACTGTGAAATTAAAATTAATGCCTTAGAAGTTTCTTTTCTTTGTTTTTGTTTAGTTTGTTTTAAAGATTATGGCTGACAACATTTATGCACGAGTAACTCCAGTTGGTTGAAAAAGGAATAGCTAAGTAACAAAAAACAATTATTTAAGGAAACTTTTAAACAATAACCATGAGCTGCATTCTTCAGCTACTACTGCCATATAGTGCTCAGATATGTGGCAATTTCCTCACTTTAAATACCATGGCCTCTGTCCTTTAAAAGGACCCATGTTGGCATAAATCCCAGTCTTCATGGAGTACCATTAGTTTCCGTGGGACTTTGAGGCCCTAACCATGTGGATCCCATTGCAGGATCAGAGTCTTAAGAATACCTTCATACCTTTGAATTCCTTTTTCAGAGATTTTATTTTTATATTTGCAGAGACTCAGATACTAGATTTTCTTCTTTTGCTAGATGTTGCTTTCATTGTTTGCTATGCGATGTAAATTTACTACTCTTGTAAAATGGTTTGACAAACAAAAATATCCAGCAGTAGAAGAACATTGTTTTCACACAATACTACATGGATTCCTTCCATAAATACACAAAATGAAAAGAATAAAAAAAGAATCAAATAAGTCAAAAAATGCAAAACTAATTATTACCAGTAGGAGGCACATCAGAAAACAAAGGGAACTAAGTGAGTGAATAGAAGTATCAGCAGCAATAATACTAAATTTCTGTTGGAGACATGAAAACCAGCCCACTACTGGATGGATTTGTTTTGCACCTACATCATTCTACAACTACAAAACCAACATTACACTCTGGATTTTTCATTACTAAATGCACCTAGTAACAAAACAGGCACTGGGCTTAAGGGTAAGAGCTAAGCCCCTCCAGCAAGACAAAATATTTCCAAATACAATTCCAACTGTAAAACTGCACGGCATTTGGGAGACAAGAAGCCTGTAAAATCATGAGGAGAAACACAAAAAGGTACATTCGCTTCAAAATCCTCTAATTAGCCACTGTGTTTGTTAAACAACTATGTACAACTCCAGAGAAAGAGTGCTAAATCATACTGGCTTTGCTCAACTGCCGAATCATTTACAGATCTATCATATCACTAGCTACATCCCATTTGACATAAGATGTAAAGAAGGACAGAATTAAAATTAACAGATAAATAATGCATAAGTAAACTTGATTAGCTTTCTTATTAAAAACATCACTCCAAATGAGAGGAGGCGCTAGAAGACAATACAGTTTGTACACTGCTTTCCCAGGAGCTGCTGAATGGTCTGATGTGATAAATTTGCATAGTCTGAAGCACACAAAGAGCTGATTAATTGAAACCCTTACAATGCTTCTGGAAGCAGCTATTGTAAAACAATAACCATAGGAACTTTACAAAATACACATGGCTGAATGAGTCAAGAGCTTAATAAAATGTGTGTTCAGGTTACACTATTTGGAAACAGAATTAGAGATTTTTATTCTGTGTCATAAAATGCTAAAACCACCCTAATTTCAAAGGTTCAGTTGGGGATTTACTGAAAAGGTCAGAAGGTTACCTGTTTGCTATTTGAGATTTAAAAATGTTGTAATTTAATTCTTAAAATAGAAAAGATAAAACATGGTTTAGTTACAAGACAAGCTAGAGCTGTAATGGAAT